AAATAGGGGGAGGCCTTCAAGGAGATGGATTGACACGGTGGCTGCGATGATGGGCTCAAGTATAGCAGGGATTGTGGGGCTGGCACGGGATTGGGCAGTGTTTCGTTCTGCTGTGCATGGGGTCGCTATGAGTCGGAAACGACTTGACGGCACTTAAGAACAACAACAACAACAAGAATAACAAGGCCAAGTGAAGGGTTCTGGTGTAGGGAACAAGACTTATTTGATGCATTATCTTTAATAAGTTATGATGACAAGAGCCATGGAGAGCCATGATGCCACAAATTTTCTTCATTCTAGTGGACCTTAGGAGACACATCCTTTCCGTTTGCTATGTTAAGACAGAAGAACTCTATCCTATGTACTTATCTGTAAGTCAGAGCCTAACATATTCTGAACGAGATATTACATTTCTCTACCTGAAATTTTTAATAAAAATATGTTTATATATTTCCTTTCCCAAGATATAGTATGTATATTTCAAAAGGGACTTATCCATAACTCTTACATGCACTTTCCACTTTTGTCATAAGTGAGCTAATGTTTTGCTGCCATATATATATTTATGTGTCTATCAAGCATTCAGGAATTAGTATCTTTCTCTCTCTCAAATGTGAGTTAAGATTCAATCCATGTTTTTGCATTAAAAATGAAAGGCTTTCCATAATTATTCGGGTTTTTTTAATAGATTGCTCCTGTATTCCATTTTTATGTCAACCAATACTCACCTCCCACTGTCCCTGTGCTGCCTGGTTCTTGAGCTGGATCTTCCAGTCCTCTGTATTGGGATCAGCACAATGATGCATGGTGAGAATGACGGGACGTGTCAGTAGGGCTCCTGGGGGCCCACAGCTCACCACAGGGGTCAAGAGTGTCTGACAGTCCTCCATGGGTGGCCTGGTGGTAGAAAAGAGACCTGCATCAGTGACATTTCCATAGTAATCATGTACTCATTGGGATCTTAGATCAAACATTGTACAAAGCATTCAAATGGTTTTCTTTGGAGTGTTTCTTTCTTTCATTCTTTTTTTTTTTTTTTTTTGGTGAAGGATGAGGTAGAATTAGATAGGAGGACATTCTCTTTACCAAGACTTTGACTTTGCAAGACCAGAGGCCTTTATGATAATAATAAAGACCAGCATCTCTTTGATCCCTTTCTGTCAGACACAGGTCTGTCTTTGTTAGCTTCCTCTGACTTCATTTCCAGATACTTTCAGGATGGAATGCGTCAGAACAGAGTCCTTATGGGTTACATAACCATCTTTTCTGGTAATACTTGCTATTGTTCTTGCAACCTTTTAAATATTTTCAAGTTTTTGGGACCTAACTGACAAATACTTAAAAAAAGAAACACACACACACACTTCAGAATGAGGACAGCTTAGAGGTAAAGTTCTTCCAAATGACTTTCAAGAATAATTCAGAGTAGTATAGCATATTCTTCTTTCAAGTCTGAAGAGACTTGTATTTTTATGATTTCAAATGAGTTTTGTCTCTACTTGCATACTTTATATCTGGATGGAAAGAACCTCAAAGCCCCAAATGCTTTATTTTCACATGGTTCCTTTCACGTGTTCCAACATTGAAGTTGCCTTTCATTCTTTCCCTAACAAGATTGTAATCAGCAAACACCTGGATAAATTAAACTAACCCATCAGGTGATATGTTAGGAAGTAGTCTCAAGGGTTCTGAGTGGATAGCTGAAGCTCGCACAACTAACAAATGCTGGTGTTGGGACTAAAACTCATGCCTTCTTAACCACAAATCTCAAACACTCTGCCAAAATGTTGTTGTTTTTATGTGCCATCGAGTCAGACCTGACTCGTAGCGACCCCTCCTTGGGTTTCCGAGGCAGTATCACTACGGAAGTAGATTGCCCCATCTTCCTTCTGAGGAGTGGCTGGTGGGTATGAATCATCAGCCTCCTGGTTAGCAGTCACTATGCTACCAGAGCTTAGGTACTATGCTACCAGAGCTCCAATAGGGAGGCTTAAAAGTCATGTGGAGCTCCTGAGTGGCTTACAAGTCATGTGGAGGTCCTGAGTGGAGAAATGGTAATGTACTTGGCTTCTAGCCAAAATGTTGGAGGTTTTAGTCTACTCAGAATCACCTCAGAAAAAAGGTCTAGTAATCTACTTCTGCAAAGTCAGACAATGAAAATCCTATGGAACAGTTTTATTCTTACACACTCCAGGTCAACTAGTTTTTAAAAATCATGCACTCAGAGAATTTTAGCAGGGTAAGAATCCCTAGTGGTGTAGTGGTTAAGTGATTGGCTACTAACTGAAAGGTCAGTAGTTTGAACCCAGTAGCTGTTCTGCAGGAGAAAGATGAGGCAGCTTGCTTCCATAAAGATTTACAGCCTTGGAAACCCTATCGGACAGTTCTACTCTGTCCTATAGGGTCACTATGAATTAGAATCAACTCGATGGCAGTTTTTTTTTTTTTAACTACTGAAGGGGCATCTCATTTCTGATCAATTCAAATTCATAAAACATTCTTACTTAGAATGAACACAATCTGCCTTCGTATAACTCCTCTCTGCATATCCTGGACCTGCTTTCTGTCCTTTCTGGCATGAATGTTTTTCAAATATTTGAGAATGTTATGATGTTTCTAAGATCTTTATTTCAGGCCAAATGACCTCAATTTTTTATATGTACACTAGAAAAGCATAGTTTCCAGAGCTCTTACTGTATTATTTTTCCTCTCCATTTTCATATGGATGTCTTTCAGTGTTTCAATAAGTGTTCTCCTTAAAGTGGGGCATCATGAGATGAACATAAATCTGTAGCAGACAGTATAAGAGGACTAATATCTTCTCTAATTTGGAATATGTTATGCTAGTGCCTCACAAAAATATTGCTTTAGATTATTCTTAATCAGGTAATTATTTATAAATACTATTTATCATGTTCAAATTAGAAGGGAAGATGGATATCATATGGTTAAGCATTTCTTTTATAAAAATAAGGCAAAGAAATCTCAAAGAGGTTAAGTAATTTATTGAACATCATGTTGTTGTTGTTATGTGCCCTCGAGTCGGACCCCGCTCATAGCGACTCCTCCTTGGGTTTCTGAGGCAGTATCACTATGGAAGTAGATTGCCCCATCTGCCTTCTGGGGAGTGGCTGGTGGGTTTGAACCGCCAGCCTTCTGGTTAGCAGTCAAGTGCCTAGGCACTATGCTAATGGCTATCCTAAAATGTTCTCCACAGTTCCATAATTGTAAAGAGCTTCTAAACATACGTAGAAAAATTTATATTTAGCTTATAATTTCACTTTAATAGTTTCAGGAAAAATTTCAGCTCATCTATATCTTTATATATTTATTTGTCTTATATATATTGTCTTATATTTATAGTCTTATATTTGTCTTATATTTCTTATATATTGTCTTATATTTATTGTCTATATATATTTGTCTTTTCTCCAAATATGGGCTATCACTTCCATTCTTTTATCCTGCACAAATCTGATATGCCTGCCATTTATGTTCCCATTCTAATCATCGAGAACAATGTAACACAAGAATAGGGCAAGGACAGAGTCTTTGTCAAGGACATCACTTAAACCTCTCTCCAGTCTGACATCAATACTTTGAGTTATTCAGTTAAACCAAATATAAACCCACTAAAATGTTCGTTGCTCAGCGACATTTCTCCATTTCATCCACATGGATATTACAAGGGACATATCAAATTCCAGTATAATTGCATGGCCACTTGAAATGGATTTGTCTCATCTCTATCCATGGTTTATATACTATATAATCTAAAAGTTAGTTTATGTCTGTGGCCTTTCTCTCAGTTAACACTCAATGAATGATAGCAGCTATTAGTATTTTTAATATCACTGGAATACAATTCTCCATGGATCTCTCATGTTTCTGCCCTTATTCCAGACTACCTATTCAAGAATGCTTGTATAGCAACATCCTTGGCAGATAAAGATAGTATCGACCTCTGAAGCAAAGGGCAGGCATGCTTATTTCCCATTATAAGAAATTTAGGTTCTCTAAACCCAGATTTCTTTCCTGTAATATAATCTACTGAACATATAGGTATTGTGTGGCTGTTTTTCTGTCATACTTGGGAATTGAGACTCAGGAATAAGGCACAGAATTATAATATTGTAGCTAGTACTATGGTTCCAGCAATACATCAACAAAGAAAAGCCAGATACTCAAGCTGTATCCAGAAGAGGCTGTGGAACAAGGGATATCATTGCTGATATCAAATGGATCTTGGCTGAAAGCACAGAATATCAGAAAGGTGTTTACTTGTGCTTTATTGACTATGTAAAGACATTCATCTGTGTGGGTCACAACAAATTATAGTAACATTGTGAAGAGTGGGAATTCCAGAACACTAATTATGCTTATGTGGAACCTATACATGGCCCAAGAGGCAATTATTTGACCAGTACAGGAGGCTACTGAAGGTTTAAAATCAGGAAAGGTGAGCGTCTGGGATTTATCCTTTTACTATACAATTTCAATATGTATACTAAACAAATAATCCAAGAATCTGGACTATATGAAGAAAAATGTGGCATCAGAATTAGAGGAAGACTCATTAACTACTTGTGATATGCAGATAAATCAACCTTCCTTGCTGAAAGTGAAGAAGACTTGAAGTACTTCCTGATGAACACCAATGACTGCAGCCTTCAATACTGATTACAATCCAACATAAAGAAAACAAAAATCCTCGCTACTGGATTGAAGTTGTCAAAGATTTCATTTTACTTGGGTCCATAATCAATACCAATGGAAACAGCAGTCAAGAAATTAAATGACATATCGCATGGGGCAAGTCTGTAGCAAAAGACCTCTTTAAAAGTATTAAAACACAAATATGTCATTTTGAGGACTAAGGCATACCTGACCTTGACTTGATGGCAATGGGTTTTGTTTTCAGTTTTAGTCTTTTAGTATCTTCTCCATTTTCTACGAATGCAATCGTTTTCTCTATTAAATCTAAAGCTACCTAGGTACCTGGAAAAGTATTTATATGTAAAATCAAATGGTTATTAGCAGCAGCTTGAGACCTGATTACTATCTCCTTCACCACCTTGGCTTTTATTCCTTCTTGACACAGTTTGACCTTCACTCTTCCAGTATGAAACTCATTCTCTTAGCACATGAACGAAGTTTTGCTTTCATTCTATCATAATTAATATTACACCATCTTCTCTAAGCAATGACCTTATTTTTGCTTAATTCTCCCTTTCTTAACAGCCTTGTTTTTTTCTGTAAAAAAAAAAAAAAAAAAAAAGGAATGATTGAATTTTTCTGAGCATTACTCTTTTCTTTTGGTTTGAAGTGTACCTTGTGAAGTGAGCATTAAATTTTTAAGGAAGAAAACTAAAGTGGAATCCATTTCAAGTGGCCCTTGCAATATAGTTGGAGATTGGAAACATCTGTCTCTCAGTCTTGTATTAGCAGTTGGTGCTTGAGGCCGGATGGAGGAGGGGTTTTTCTCATATGAAGTTGGAACAGAAGGGAGAAGAAGACTCCCTGCTGGGCTGGGAGCTGTCAGACCTGTACTCTCCAAGCACACCCCTGGCATGCAATATTGATGGGCACCATTCTTGGAGGAGGGATAGCAAGGGAAGGAGGGAGGAAGGAGGGGCAGTAGGTGTCAAAAGAATTTATTAACCCAGTGAGGTGCAAGAATGTAATGAATAGGGAAGTAGTGAAATGGAATTCATAATGGAATGAAAAACAAAGAAGAAATAATGATAAGAATCTTATGTGTTTTTAAGATGCAAGAAGTAGCCCTGAAATTGGAAAAATTTCCAAGGATATATGGAACGAATGACTTAGGGAAGGTAAGATTTAACTATGTGAAAACAAATGTCAGAGTATCTAAATTAACATTTCATTTATTTATA